TCCAAAATGTTTTATTTTGAAAAATCATGGCTTAAATTTAAAAAAAAAATCATGAATTTCAAATTTCAGCCAAATTGAAATATACAAACATATACAAAAATTGGTTACATTTTATTTTTAGCAATAAAAGAAAAGAAAAGAAAAAACTGCTTGTAATTAACACAGATCTTATGACTAAAAGAAATGACTACTTGTAGAAGATTAATTGCCATTTGCTTAATGTTTAAGTTCAGACATAATATAATGAAGAGTTAAATGAATTGTTCGTTCCCTGTTGAAAAGTACAAATAACTTCTATCGGCCTTCAGTCATAACTGTCTAAAATATTAAGAATCATGGCTAATAAAGCATTTCAAATATTTATAGCGCCTTTCCTTGATCGATCTTTAGCGTGCTTGTCTCGCACACCATTACTTATGTATTTACTTTTATTGAGTGGTGCCATGACTGTAGTCTCATTGCAAATAAGTTGGGAAAATAAAAGAAAAACTCATTTTGAAGTTGACATCTTATAATTTGAAATATCTTCCATCGTAACGAGTCAGCGTGAAGCTAAAGCTAGAATATGGAAGGAAAGACAAGCATTTGCTTATGTCATGAATTTAAATCGAACTTTTTGCAAATCCTATTATAAGTCTGTGTGTTCCTACCTTTACATTAAACCCAAACATTACCTCAGATAAATAACGGACCATTCCGTTTTGATTGTAAAGAAAGACGGAAGAAAATGACATAGCCGAAATACTATCTGGTTTTAGTGCGGAAAAGAAGACATATATTTTAATAATAAGAGAGAAACGTTTATTTATTTATTTTTTTTTTTTATAGCTATTGGATTATAACTATTAGGTTATAAATATTACGGTTTTGGGTATTTTTTAAATTTTCACCTCAAGTAAAATAATAATGCCACTAAGACGCAAGAAGATACTGGAAAGAGAATAAAAAAATCTTCAGAGGAAACCGGAAATAAAATCCTAAACAAGGAACAATTGATAAACCCCTAAAATTGTAATGACGAATGTCCTTAACCGGTCCTTAAATATATTATAGCAGTTGATGAAAAACAGGTGACATACGGCAATATTTAATGCAAAAGGCAATGGATTGACAAGGATAAATCTCCATAACCGACCCTGAAACCGGAGCTCTACAGAAAAACGATAAAATTATGTGTGGGCGGGAAATCTCGCTGTGCTAGTCAATAGAAAAATTTTGGTCGTCTCCATAGCAACGCAAGGATTCAAAAAAACAGGAATAACACAAGAACACATTTGGAACACGGTTGTTTTGTTCCACCTCATTCGCCATATTCACCTGAACTTGCACCAACCGAATGTTGCAGTTTTCTATCACTGTTAAACATTTGAAAACATTCTTTAATAAATATCAGATTCAAGAATTTCATCGAAATTTGCTTTGGTTCATTAAAATCTGCTGAATTTTGCTGAAAATGTATTGAAGAACTGCCTGAAATTGCAGTGAGTCATTTCAAGTAATGGTGAATATATACTTGAAGAAAATGCAACTGTACTTTATTTTATGAAGAATAAAGTTCATAAACGAGAAGGGAAATTATTTATGACTCAAACTAGCGAAAAGATCATTGGAAATTAATATCTAAAATAAAAAATGATGTAATCTTTCATTAAGAAAATAATATTAAAATCTTTATTAAATCGAAAAACTACATAATACGCTTTTGCCAATATGTAACCTAAATAATGACTGAGGTTAGAGTGGTATAATTTTTTTTTTCTTATTTTCTTTTTTACTGTGTATACATGATTAAATTTTCTCTTGTTAAGTCAAACATTTGGAATAAAGCATTTCTTATTTAGAATAAAGTGTTGTCGATTTCGAATCATTTCAGTTGTATTCTCTTCCCACTTTATGTAATAACTTCCATTCATAAGACAGATTGCGATATTTTCTTAAAGTTGTTAAGCGCAAATATTTAACGAGGCGATAGGGGAATTTTCCCGGGTATCTTATAGTGGTGGAAAACAAAGGGAACGTATTCAATCATTAAATTAAGAATAATGACTCACCAGAAAATTCAAGGTATAGGAAAGCCGTAAAATTTTCACGGGTTCTTCTACTAAAGAAAGAAAGGCGTTTTATTGCATTAGATTTCATTCAAGTTGATTTTTCTACAGTTTTCTCCGCCATTACCAACTCGCGTTGTTCTCACCTCCCTCAAGTACGGACGCCTGATCAGATACCAGAATTCCTTGCGAGGAGTTGGAAATGACACTCGTCTTTATACCTTCAAGGGAGAAGAAAGAAATAAGTTACATATAAAATTTAAAAGGAACAGGATCTTAGGGTAAATGAAAGATGGAAAGAAATTAAATTACCATTAACATTTTTGAAAAAGAAAGAAGATAGGATAACTAAAAGAAAGGAAGTAATCACTAAATAAATAATTTTCATATAATGTTAAAGATAAACAAACAGAAAGAAGTTAACTATAAAATGTAAAAGAAAGAACGAAGAGTAACTAAAAAACAGAAAGAAAGACATTTACTTATAAAATTTAGGAGAAAGAAGTTAGGATGACTAGAAAGAAAGAATAAAGAATTTAAAAATAAAATTAAAATAAACGAAAAAAATGTGAAAATGAAAGAAAGAAAATCCAATAAATAGATGGCTTGCCGCATGTTTGAAATATCTGTCTTTCGCACCGGTAACAGGGGTCGATATTCAAACCCCAGTAAATGCCAGGATTTAAAAAGCATATTTTCATGTTTTGCCTAGAATCCATATTTATGCCCAATTTTCACCCCCCCACCGTTTTTTCCTTGATTAAAAGAATCTATGAGAGAAAAGAAGGAAAGAGGAAGAAGAAGAGATAGAATCAGCGCAGAGAAAAAAGAAAAAAAAAGTAAGAAAAATAGAAAAAGGAACAAGACTGAGAGGATGTTAATCACAAAAAGAAAAAGAAAGGTCAAATGAAACGTGAAGAATGCGTGGATAAACACATAGAGGTAAGATGTAAGACGAAGAAGAAACACTAAAAAAAGAAGGATGTAAAAAAATAAACGAGAAAAAAAAATCACAGAAGGATGCGATTGAATCCAAAGACATTAGGTATAAGCTTCTTGGCACAGGAATTGAACTCAAAATTACTCTATTACCAAATTTATGGCTTAGTTAAAATGGGTCAAGTAATAACAAACAATTAAGGACTAGCGATACCCAGAAACATGATCAGCGGAACTAGAAGAGTCTATCTTCTGGTTCAATTCGAAAGTCCTTGAAGTTTAGTCGAATCGACAAACAACTGATGAAGTCTGTAGGTCACTGCGCCCGAAACGTTGTGATAATAATAATAAAAAAACAAAAAAACAAAGAGTAACACAATAGTCCTATTATAAATAATAGAAATAATACAAATACGGTAATATTAAATAACCATAAAATACTTTTTCATCTATATTTTTTTCTTGTACTCCTTTCCTTTTCCTAAAATGCTTTGACAATTTGATAACCAAAAGTTCTGTTCGTCGCCATCTTCTGTTACATTTTAAGTTCTCGTTTTATCTCTTTCTTCCATTTTTTAAAAGGTGCATCTATTTCCACCCACACACCAACGCTTACGAAAATACAATAAAAATAAAATAATCTGACTGTCAGTCTCCCCTTCCAGTCTGGTGATCTTAGCGTGTTTTCTCCTTCGCCAAACCCACACAGCCTACACAGCCTTTCCGAATTCTTTTTCTTCACTTCCGTGAGGTGATATTAAGCTCTCTGTTTTATATCCACGCGAACGGCTTGTTAAACGTTAGTTCAAACAACAAACTGAACCCTGAAATCAAACCCCGGCGAATTCTTCGCGACGTAATTAGACTGATCGAAAAGTCACTGGTCCCATGCTTTTGCCACCAATTACTCGGCGCATGCTACAAGAAGGGACCAAAATTGGCCATTTTTGTCTTTTATTTGCTAGAGATTGTTATTCGCTTTACGGGTCGAGCGGGTCGGCTTATTAGTGATTGGAAGACACTACGTCGACGAGGCTAATTAAAATAATAAGAGAAAAGATAATAAAAAAAAATAATAAAAAAACAAATATTGACACTGTCATTGAAGAGAGAGAAAAATAAACGACAACGAAGAAGAAGAAATAATAATAATAATAATAACAATAATAATAATAATAATATGAAAAATGTGGAATCAACGGTGAAAAATACTCTTGGAATCGTGGGAAGAATGGATCGATCATTTGATGGAGTAGGGCGAAAGATGGGAATGTTTCGGTTAAAAAATATAAAGATTTGTACAGTCGACTGCCGCTTCAGCTGATTTGGCATGTATGCGCATGCGTGTGTCTGTGTGGGAAGCAAAAGGGGAAAAAAAAAGAGGCAATCATGGAGGTAGGGAGAGTGGGCGAGTAAGTGAAGTGGAAACAGAGAGAAAAGGAGTGGGAGGGAGACAGAACGACAGAAATCAGAGAAAAGCGTGTATAATGTGTCGCGCCAACACATGTATGTCTGTGTATGCAGGTATGAGAAAGAAGATGAAACAAGTTAAAATTTTTAAAAAAAAGGAGAAGAAAATTATCGAAGAAGCATTCATTCATGAATAACTAAATGGAGAAGTATAAATCAAATAAAACTGGTGTGGGGTGATAAAGAGCGTGCCTTAGTGAAACGGAATCATATTGACAAAAGAGAGACAGAGGGAGAGATCGGAAGAGAGAGAAAGAGGAATATGGATGAGTTAGAACATTGCGCATGCGCTGATATTTGCATGTGTTATAAGGAAGATGGTCGGGGTAGACACAAAATTTCGCAAACTTAAAGAATTAGACAAATATAGAAAAAAATATAAAGACTATCAAAGTCTACGGAAGATAGATAGAGAATAAAAAAAGGAGAGAAAGAGAAAATGAGTAAGAGAGAGTGAGCGTACATACATTAATTTGTGAGCGTCTTTATCAGCTACAGATAATATGATAAAATAAAAAAAAAGAGAAGCGTGCATGTAAGTAATTAAGTAAAACAAATAATGCTTAGGAGAAGAAAGAAAAAAGAAAGAAAGAGAGGGAGGGAAAAGAAAGTAAGAGAGAGAGAAAGAAAAAAACAGAAAGAGAAAAAAGAAACAAGAAAAAGATAGAAAGAGAGAGAAAGAAAGAAAAATGAACAAACAAGAATAAGAAAGAAACAAGAAAAAGTTAGAAAGAAAAAGAAAGAAAAAGAAAGAAAGAAAAAAGAAAGAAAATTAAAGAAAAAACGAACGAAAGAAAAAGAAAAAAAAAAGAATTCACTTGCACCAGTAGAAACAGTTTTTTTCAGCACTTGCAAACATGGTTATCAACGTGACCCACTTTTCAAAATCATTATTTTTTAATGAAGAAATGATTTTGGTAAGTGGATCAAGCCGAAAACTTTTCAGCACCCCGATATATGTTAGATCAAATGATTACAAATGTAAAAGGTATTGTATTAATAAAAACTGTTATACTTGAGGGCAATTCCAAAAGTTTTAACGTTCTTAATTGGATATTATCTTCGACAATTGATTTTATTATTTGCACAAAACATTACTTCCATGGGCTTTCCTGGCAGCAGTTCGTCTTCAAATGATCTCCTCTCTTGACGACAATACGTCCCAGAGTCAAATTCAGTAAGAGCTTGATGCTTCAATTCGTGATTCTGATTTTCATTAGTGATCGTCAGTTACTTCAATCTTTAATCTTTATTGCTTCTAAAATGTAAAACAAAAGGAAAAATATTATTGAAAAATGCACTGAATATATATATATATATATATATATATATATATATATATATATATATATAAAAAAGAAAGGACAGTAAGATATATAATCCGGTGTTCTTATAGAAATTTTTATTTTTTAAAAAAGTGCTCAATGTAAATTTACAGAGCATTAATATTATAAATAAATGTTTCAAAAATGGGAGCTTCCATTTCAGCTTCCATTTTTGAAACATGGTTAAACTGGGTAGCGAAAAAACATTTTAAATCAATTAATTTATAATATATATATATATATATATATATATATATATATATATATATATATATATATATATATATATATCTTTTCACCCTAAGGAATCAATAAAGACTTTAACACGAAGTTGGTTACTGAATGTGAAAAAATTTAAGGCAAACATTATTAAGGAGCGAGAACAATAAAAGGACAGAAGATAACGATTGACATTTCATTTAAATTTTAAAAATCAAACTAGACAGGAAAGCAAGAAGCCGGAAGAGATTCCCAAAAGCAAGAAAAGAAACAGTTAGCTTAGAAGTTATGGTTACATCTTTACCATTTCAGCTGTAAAATGCTGAGGTCTTGCCATCAACCTTCTACAGTGCTTCAATTCATAGAGTGTTACAACTGTACATATTTATTTTTAATTTTCAATTAATATGTTTATTCCAACTTCATAAAAGAATCAGAGACTGGTTGTAATTAGTTAAATAAAGTTTTTTTTCATCATGAATATATAGTTTAATTAGGACTTGTTGATTATCTGAAAATGAGAAAATCTTTTAAATATTGCCATAGGTGTTCACTTACTTTTGAATATATATATATATATATATATATATATATATATATATAAAAAAGTAAGTGAACACCTATGGTAATATTTAAAAATATATATATATATATATATATATATATATATAGCATATCGTTGACCTAAGAACCTAACCTGAAAGAAATCATAGGTAGTAACCACATTTCAGGGGACAAGGTAATCTGTAATAAACCAACAACAAAAAACAACATGATCAAAATCTACCACAACTCTAACTGTAGAAGTCATAACATAATTTACCTCCTAGAATGCACACTATGCCAGAAACAATACGTAGGAAAATCTGAATGACCCTTTCACTACAGAATTAATAATTATCGCAATCGAATTAAGTCGACTCCCCATGAAAAATTATTACCTGTAGAACAACATTTCCGCCTGGAAAAACACGATTTCAAAACCCATGCCAAATTCACTATAATTGAGAGAATAGAAAAGTCCGGAGCAGATAACATTAGAAAGAGTTTAGAGTTCCCTGAAAATAAGTGGATAAAACGTTTAAAAACGCATTATCCAGCCGGGCTTAACCATACATTTAACAATATAGATAGTATTAATATGTAACCTTACAAATCAAAACCTACCCACATTTCTCCCTCACACAAGAGAGATATGCTTACGGAGGTGTGGAGGCCTCACACTTATACACACACCCACACGAATATACACACTTACACACATCATACGCACTCCCTCCCTAATGAGCCAAATGATAACACACACCCATAGTAATATACACGCTTAGACATATCATACTCACTCACTCCCTAAGAACCAAATAACACACACACACACACACACACACACACACACACACACACACACACACACACACACACACACACTTAACAGAGACACATCCCCTTTCTAGGAACCTTTATTGGTTCCTAGAAAGAGGATCTGCCAAAATAACCAAGGGAATTCATAGCAGCATGAATCCATCCAGCTCTTATCTCAAATAACAACTTAAAAGAGATTGTTTGACCAACACAGTAAACGGATGGGACCTAGATCCCAATCTAGTAGCACGCTTAAATTCATGTAGTCGGCACACCAGGAAAAAAAACAAACTCGTCAGCGTAGTTACCATAGTTGTAGAAAGGACAGAGAGAAGCCACGCAACGTCGGTAAGAAATTGACTGAAGTCGAGATGTCAAGCATATGTATAGATAAAATATATTTGTCGCCATAATTGCAGACAAGATCAGACAGATCGGCAGAGAACTCTGGGGAGAAAGCGCAAATTTGTAAACAATGATTACTATTGCTAATGGGAATCTCTTCCGGCTTCTTGCTTTCCTGTCTAGTTTGATTTTTAAAATTTAAATGAAATGTCAATCGTTATCTTCTGTCAGGATCAATTACATTACAGATACTTCTTGCGATTTGTCAAGAATCTCATATATATATATATATATATATATATATATAGTGTAACCCGGATATAAGAGACCCGGATATAAGAGAAACCCGGATATAAGAGAGATTTTCTCTGGTCCCAAATTAGAGCCTGTGTTACCTAAACAAAATAGACCAAACCCGGATATAAGAGAAACCCGGATATAAGAGTCTTCTTTTCCGGTCCCGACAACTCTCTTATATCCGGGTTACACTGTATATGGATGTGTGTGTGTGTGTGTGTGTGTGTGTGTGTGTGAAAAAACGAAAGGAAAACTTATTTTAACCGATGCATTTCATCTTCTGGGGGACTTTATTAAGGCAAATGCACGGATGATATTTGTTAACAAGTATTTATATACAAAATCAAAAATGTTAATTGTTTTCCAAAATTTGATAATATGAATATAGCGTCGATATAGCGTGCGTAAATAGAGAGGGTGCTTGGTGGACATCATAAGACAAATACTAGTATATAAGACCAAAATACTCTACAGTACCCAGTGAAAGGAAAGACTCAAAATGGTAGAAGTTATTATTATACAAATAAAAAACAGTCCACATTAACTAAAACATCATTCATCACAGGGGAATATATCTTGAACTGCATATGTTATAATCAATATTTTTTAAGTATTATGATAATAAAAATAAAAATATAATAAAATAAAAAAAAATTAAATTAATAAATAAATAAATCGTTTTCTTTTTCGTGTGGCCTCGTTCACAATAGCTGCTACACATGACGTCACTCTAGACCATTTCAAACATCCAATAACAGGATGCAGGCAAAGGAAATCTACATCGGTTCTTTATAATGGTTGCAAAAGTCGAAAATATTCACAGACAGACCTTGTCGGTTATTTTTAATCAAACTTATTTGGATGAATACTTGATACCTTATATATATATATATATATATTGTTATAGTGGAACACACCTATTCTATAGTTAATAGTCTCTCCCACCTATAATAAGTAGGAGTAGTAGTAGCAGTCGCTGAGAGAGTTGGTCAGTCAGTCGATGTCGGACGACCGTTAGTCGGATATTAAAGTATCAGCCACCACAACTAGATTACTACGTCATTACCTATTATATCAAGTTCTAACTTTTGTACGTCGAACAATAAGGATATATATATATATATATATATATATATATATATATATATATATATATATATATATATATACCAGCATTACCCTGAAGATCCGTTTAGGTGAAACACATGTAGGTTTGTCTGGCTCCTTAGGATTATCTTAGCTTTTGGTCTACTTCGCACTTTACGTAGTTGTTGTTTTTCACTCGTTTTGTGTTTTTTTTTCTTTGGACTTGGAGCTTGAACACTGGAACATAATGTTCTTGGTTCTTTCTTTTTTTATTCCGTATTTTTCCTCGGGTACCGATTTGTTCTACTGCAAGTTGAGCTATCCGAGGTTTTTACAAACGAATACCACCATATATATATATATATATATATATATATATATATATATATATATATATATGCAATTCTTATATATATTTATATATATTATTTATATATTATTTAGTAATTCGTCGAGCCTAGAATAATCCTCAACGGAATGTAGAAGGCACTGGACGGTCGTTTCGTCCTATCATGCCGGACCGTTTCGATACAACACAAACGTCATACAAACGTCAACCATGGGCCTTGGTGAAGAAGAAGACACAGACTAAACTCGATATAGCGCCGCTACCCACACAGTTCCGCAGCGATATTCGTCTACGTATTCAGATAACCTCGGAACAGTGCCCCAAGAGCCATGGCTGCTTTTTGACCCTTAGCCCCTCCATCGCAGAGCATTTGCTGAGTCTAGCAAGGATATACAAGTGATATCAGCGATAGAGCTAACATACATATTGACAGAGTTTATCTGACGATCACAAAGGGCGTGAAATCCAGGGTCACAAACTCATATCAACGCAACTAAATATATATTCTTTCCCCAAAATTATGCCGTCCTGTGCATTAATTCCTGGTGTTCCCATGTCTACCCTGACCTGGGGTGGTAGTACCTGTTAGGGTCCCAGTTAGGCGCAAATAGCTAACTCCCAAACTGGGGACAAAACACCGTGAAAGTATAAAAATAGGTTTTAATACTGGCGATACGTTTTTGTAAAAAAATTACCAGTAATAAATTTCTGAAGAAAAATTATTACCAGCAATACATTATTACCAGCAATATATTTTTTGGGGGAAAAATATTACCAGCAATAAATTTTTGGAAAAAAAATATTTGACTAATAAAAATCTTGTCGGCAGTAAATAACCCATTGAGATTGATATGCCGTAAAACAAACCAAACCAATATATACTGGGATAGATAGATAGATAGATAGATAGATAGATAGATAGATAGATAGATAAAAAATATTAGCAGCGATAAAAATCTTGTCGGCATTAAATAACCTATGGAGGTTGATATACCGTAAAAGAAACCAAACCAAACCATAGATAATAAAGAAAATAACCCCGTGGAAAGTCATGATCACCTACGTCCTGAAGATGAATAACATAAAAATAGCATAAACATATTAAAATCAAACGTATTTCTAAAACATTAATAATATTAATAAAGACTTAACCCCTGAGTGTTGTAAGGGAATTACATGTACTGTATCCGTAGTCATCTCGAAGCTGGTTGGAATTCTCCTAGATTAGTTACCAAACAAACCTATAAGACCAAGTCTGTCCTGCCACTTGACCATAGATGGGGAAAATAGATGGCTTCATACCTTTTAAATATTTATATTTATACCTTTTCTGCGCGTAAGGTAATGTAACTATCGGATGTATCTAGTTTATCGTCATACCCAGGACGTATCGCCAACGTCCCGAATGAACAGAATACATAGCAGAAGAATATAAAATTACGAATAAAAGTAAATGAATATCATCGTGAAAGGAAAGAGATAATAATACGAAGAAAGGGTTATTAATCAGTACGTCGCTACTGAATGGGACACAAGGTCAGTTTAAAGTGGGGAAAATAATACGAGGAAATGTAATTACACTATATCAAAAGCAACAATAATGAAAGGATAAAATAGTGACTATGACTGCCTTCGTATTTTTTGTGGAAGGGCATCTAAGCGCCTTATACCATTAACAAAAAGAGATAACAGGGAAAAAAGCAGTTTGATGGTTTACAGACCATCAGCGCTGGATCTTGCTGTTTTGCGCATTTGTGAGTGAGCATGCGCATTGTGATGGATCAAACTGAATGCATTAACTCTGGTGATGACCAGAGGCTCATCTTCAATAAGCGAGGCTAATTTGAAACTGAAATTTGAACCTTGAACTTTTCTTTGCAAGACTCGCTTTTACAGTCTTTCATTATTTGCTCTTCAAATAATTTGTGCGGAGGAGTATTCCCGTGCTGGTTAGATATGCGTGTATTAATATGCATGTTGCTGGCCGCGCCTATAAAAATCCACTTGTCCATTCGGGCATATATAGTTATGAGAATACGATAATGATTAGTGGGGAACTTTATGAATGTAGATAAATCAAAGTAGTACTTCGCTGTTTCTCTGTTGAATTAGGGAAAGAGAGAAGCCCTTTACTTAGGATGGAGGCACACAACAAAAATGAATGTATATTAAAAAAAACAAGTCTGTTTATCGTTTTACTTATTGTTATAGCAAAATGGGAAGTAATTTTCATTCGTCAGCATCAAATGCGAACGTCCATAATTTTAAATTACAGGAGCCAACAACAAAAGTTTAATTTACATTTTCTTTTATTCTACAGACAGTGCCAACAGTTTTTTTGTATTGCCTACCACGAAAACGAAAAGTCTAATGCTAACCTAAAGAGCAATAATGATTTGAACTCGTAATTTCCGTTAAGAAAATATGTGGTGACCAAGGAAGAACCTCCAAAATTCTGTGCCCGATATGAGAATTTTTTTCTTAATTCAGATCATTGACTGCATTAACGTTTTCCAAAGCAACGCTGAAAGACTTCATTGGTTTTAGAGTACGAATAAAAAGATACATAAGCCTGAAAATTATTGAAAAATAATTTTTAAAATAAATTTGATGTAAAAATTCAACCCTAAAATAACATCACCAACTGAGTTTACAGTTCTTTTTATGTACCATGTCCTTTCAGGACGTAGGCGATCATGGCTCTCCACCTCCCTCTATCCCTTGCAGCTCTCAACAAGTTCCTTCCCTCTGCTTCCTCCCCTAGACCACGTTCTGTCATCCAATTGCTTAAGTCCGCCGGATATGTCACGCGTTGTTTTCCATTGTTTCCCTTTCCCTCTATTCAAGCCGTGAGTATTAGATTCTCCAGGCCCTCTTTCCTCATTATATATCTCAGAAACTTCAGTTGTCTCTTCTTGATATTAAGTATAAGCCTTCTCCTTGTTTGCAACCTCTCTTAGAAGAGGAAAAAATGAAAAAATCAACTTAATCATTGTCTTTTAAAATTCCGTACTTTAAGACTAGATGCAGTTAAAATGATCAACTCCCACCTACCTGGCTCCTCACGCTATCTTCTATCTGTATAAGAGCCAGATCAGTCCGAAAATGGAGTACTGTTGCCGTATTTGGGCGGGAGCTATCCAGTTTTCACTTTCCAGTCTCGATAGAGCCTTTGAAAATTTTTTTTTTACCCTCCAACGTCTCTCTCACAGGCGGCATGTGGCGAGTTTCTCAATGTTCTATCTCTACTTCCATGGAGAGTATTCGGACGAACTCTATTCCTTGGTTCCTTCTCAGCTAGGACCCGCAATACCACTTACATAATATCAAGCCACCCACATTCCCTCGCTGTATTCCATCGGTTAGAAGTAAGTTTCATTCAAACAGCTTCTTCTCGTGAACCACTGTCCTGTGGAAGAGACTCTCAAGAGGATGTTTTCCCGATTACTGCAATTTTAACCTGTTCATGTCTTAACCGTTATCTTCTCCTATCCATTTAAAATAGCCCTTGACGTAACCCTCTATACCGATTGACTCCGGGTCTTGTACAGGGTGAAACTTAATATAAAAAAAAGAAGCCTTTACTAGAACGAAACGAAAAAGTCCCAGAATAGGACTGAATATTGGTCTATACCTGATGCACCTTTTCCTTTGAGACTTTGTTCATGACTGCTAAACTTGCTGCGATAATCTTTGGTGACAGTTCAGGCCATGTTCTTTGTAACTACGATCTTCGATTTTGACTACTCAAATCTGTAACTCGAGATACTGATCGAATTGTGGTGTTATGTCCATATTCGGTAAGTCTTGGAATAAACAACAAATGAGTCATCAACCCACATTTCCGCTTCACATTTTATAGAACATTAGTGGTATAACACGATTAGCCTGATAAAATTGTTTGATAATAGAGGTTAAAAAGAAGGGATCGATTAAGTAGCGAAGAGAGAGTGATGGAACCATAGATATACACAGCGATTATTATGAACTAATAATATATATATATATATATATATTTGGTTGGATAGATGTGAGTTTGTGAACCTGGGTTTCCTGACGATCGCTAAAGCGTGAAACCCAGGGTCACAAACTCACATCTATCCAACCAAATATGTTAGCTCTATCTCTGATATTGAACGCTTTCTAATAAGTACCGCGCATATAATATGTAAATAATTATATATATATATATTTATTTATATTTATATTTATATACACTTTTCACATATATATATATATATGTATATATATATATATATATATATATGTTTTTTTAAATATTATATACTAATAATAGTACCTACCAACTTATTAACATCTATTATACAAAACAATTTACCCAATCTTAACACTCAAAATAATTACAGCTACATCCAAAACTATTACAGATATTATTAGAACAAAAATATTCATAACAATAATAATTCTGAAGCAGATGCATATAAAATAAACTGTCACAACTGTTATTTACTATATATTGGGGAAACCTGCAAAAATAAAATAAAAAACAAAGTTAAAAGTCATCTTATACAGAACAAGGCTAGAGTTCTTGTTCAAATCGATCCAGTGAGAATTTTAGAGCAAGTTAATGTCTCATTAAGTTCTGTTAGTGAAGTGATTTCGCCATTAATCACATTAACATTGCTATTTAATTCTTTGTATAAATTGTTTCTTTATGATATAAAATATTAGCTGCACTTTCTAATATATATATATATATATATATATATATATATATATATATATATATATATATATATATATATATATAGAGTCATACAAAGACAGACTGTTTCGCTGTATCAGTTCACAGCTCATCAGTGTGGCTAGACATTCGATTGTCTCAAGCCATGATCGAAAACCGACTAATCAGTCAGAGATTTTACCCCTGAGCTATCTGCGCCCGGTAGAGAAGAAGGCGCATTCTTACGTACCTTTTCTTCGAATAAACGTTCTAATGACCGAGAGGGTTCACTATATGTAAGATCTTTGCAGTAATAGTAATCATTGTTTACAAATTTGCGCTTTCTCCCCAGAGTTCTCTGCCGAAATTAAATTATTCCGGCGACGTATATATATATATATATATATATATATATATATATATATATATATATATATATATATATATGTGTGTGTGTGTGTGTGTGTGTGTGTGTGTGTGTGTCTGCTCTTGTCTGCCCTTATGGCGACAAATATATTTTATCTATACATATGCTTTATTGTTTTTGTATTTAGTTGGCATGTGAGAGCGCAATAAATTTTGCAGGTAAGTTTTATATTTTCGTCTACTCCAATAAAAAACAAGATTAGAATTCGAACTGGGTTCTCCGATTTCTCATTCACAACCAAATATTTTTGGGATGAGTCTATATATATATATATATATATGGAGAGAGAGAGAGAGAGAGAGAGAGAGAGAGAGAGAAGGAGCATTAACTGCACATTCAAACTAACACAACATTGCTTCTAAAGATCACGTTTCTTACTCTCCCTCCCTCTCTCTGGAGATGAAGTTGTTTTAATGTTTTCTGGAAGACTATGATGCGCCCAGAAAGAGATTTTATTGAAGTCAAAAATCATGATGTGGTGTGGATTACATTTTTACTGAGATTGATTTGGCGAGAGTAATTTGAATGCTGCAGAAATATTTGATCTTTGATCCCAGAGAGAGAGAGAGAGAGAGAGAGAGAGAGAGAGAGAGAGAGGGGGGGTTGGCGGAGAAGAGCCAGAAAGAAAATATAATGATGTAGGGAGGAGGGCAATAAAGAGAATAGATAGATATAAAATAAAAAGAGGGAGAGAAAGCGAGAAAGAAGAAGCAGAGCAGAGTAATCAGGTGGGATTAAGAGAGATAATACACGTTTTACTCTGCTTTTATTATTACGACTATTAAAAACCTTCGGTCTTTTGACTCATTGATCTTTTTTTGTTAAAAATTAACGCTATCAAGTTATCTTGATTGGCAAGGGATTATGCCAATCTTTTCTGGAAAACCGAATAACAGAACAAAAAGGCAAGATGAAAAGAAATAGGCACTATCATTGTTTTTTAAAAGATAATTATCCCTACATGAAATATAAAAAAAAAATCCCAAAACAGCATTTTATCTCGTTTTGATACTGATTTTCTCATAATGAGCAAATTCTGCATGGACGTACTTTATATATATATATATATATATATATATATATATATATATATATATATGTGTGTGTGTGTGTGTACACACACACAAATGCACATACACACAACACACACACACACACACACACACACACACATATATATATATATATATATATAATAGATATTACACAATCGTATTTCAGTATAACTTTGTGAAAATATCAATTTAACTTTTACTGTTATCTTATTGCATTTTGAAAATTAGTATGCCGCTAGGATAATATTGCACTTTCGTGACGTTTTACACCCCTCTCTCTCAATATCTCTTTATCTATATATCTATCAGTCTATCAATATATATATATATATATATATATATATATATATATATATATATATATATATGCAAGGGAATTATATCACAATGTGGAAAAAGTCACGCGTTTCGTCATACAAAGATTTATAAAACGTTTTCATATATATATATATATATATATATATATAATTGCGCAGGTATGCAGAAATAGAAAAGAACACGTTGGGTGCATAATCCGGGATTCCTTAGTATTTTTGTTTTTGTTTTTAAGAAGACAGTGCTCCATACAGAAGTAGAGCTTTATTATAATGATATTTTTTGTTTAAAAATATGATTCCTTCGCTACATAAGAGTTCTCATGTTTCAAAAACGAGAGCCGAAACCATCCAAATAATTATTAAAATTAAGTTGTATTGTGTGTTTAGTTCATATATATATATATATATATATATATATATTTAGTTTTATATATATATATATATATATATATATATATATATATATATATATATATATATATATATACCGTTGTTTAGTCTATTTTTCTCACTGTATATAAGATTGGCTCCCAATCCATTGATAAAAGAAACGTGTTACTCAGGATTTTTCGCCGATTTTGCTCGTCTGGTATAAATTTATCAAATTTACATACATGCATACATAAAGATTATTTCTACTTTTGGGCGTGTATTAGTAGATATCCCTGCTTTTTTTACTTTTTTTTTTTACGAAATGTGTCAACCTATTCTTCCTCATTCACCCGGAATTCAATCTATATGAAGAATGCTGATGATACCGGTGGCCCAACAGTTAAGAACACAGAAACAAAAAGAACACTTATACTTCACATCAAGAAGGAGCATAATGAGGAAAAGAGGACATGGAAATGTTGCTGCTCACAAGACCAAAGGGAGCTAGAGCTAGTATCTAATATAATAACGCTTAAGCAATATAAATTTCGGTTTAAAAAATAAATTCATTAATTCCTAATATATATATATATATATATATATATATATATATATATATATATATATATATATATATATATGTGTGTGTGTGTGTGTGTGTGTGTGTGCAGTAAAAAGGAATGTTGGTAACTTTCAACAGCAACAAAAAAGTTTCGGAAAGAAATTTACATTAATATTAAAGCAATAAAAGTTAGCAGACTAATTTAACTCATCTCTTTTATTGAAAAAAATATAAATTTCAAACAAGTGTCCCATTAACAATCAATTAATGCTTAATATTTCCTGTGAAGAAACGGTTAATCTCACGATTACCATTGTCATTGCTATATACTGACTGGCATATATTTAGAAAAAGAAATAAAAATGACTTAAAAATTTCTTCGGAGTATTATATGCGATGTGAAATTTTCTGATAGGCAAATGTTTTCCCAGACGCCGCAGACTGCCAACACTTATGCCATAGCTTAACTCCATAATACCGAAAGATTAAGTGTAAATAGTGCGGTCTCACAAGCCATCAGATATACCAGTTCAGATTCTGTTAAATCCGGAAGACGTCAATGGCTAATTCCAGTTTGACTGTTCCAACGATACGGCTGCAGTACATGATATCTGGAGTTACATCATATGTACATTTCAGTATCATAGGATATTAAACAATAAAAGGATTTGCCGTGATTCAAAACGAGGAAGATTTTGTACGCATTATCAACAGAGAAGTAGCTGATCACCTCACGAAAAAAATATTCGGAGCAACAAACAGTATGGGTTACACATCTTTGTTTCCACTGCTGATTTTTTTAAAACTCACATTATCCACATAATCAGTGAAACGCTCTATGTTAGCTTCGTCAAACTTTTGACAAAGTGTAACATAAGAACTTTATGCACAAACTTCTGTTTATAGACGCTCTTCTAGAAAATGATGATTATCAGGGCATTACACCTGATCTTTCATCTGATCTGGCTCTTACAGTACATTAGGAGGAAAAAAGCTTGGAGCTTTCAATACCTCAAAAAATACATATATATAGTTTCATCGTCACCGATCTGACTCTGAATTTCCTGCAGCAACAATGAATGGTTGAATTCTTAATGAGACTCGATGCTTCAAGCGTATAGTTCTTGTTATAATATTGATATTAATATCAGCTCAAGCACAGTGTTTGGGGTGCATCCTCCCAGACATTACCTATCCTTCGGTTGAGGACTAACGTCATTACCCGGCGCATGAGGCTTCCCCCGAAGTGGGAGTGCTGAGAGTGCTTTAACAATCTTTGCACGACTTTCCTGCAATCCCGCATTAAACTCAAGCCTTGTATCAAATTTCTGTTGTGACACGGGCGCAGGGATACATACCCACTTCATTAGATATGATGATGCTTTGGAATTACTTGGGAAGATTGTAGCGTCGAGCCACCAGAAAAGATGACGTTATAATTACACGTTTCCAACATTCTATAGAATATAAAATCCTATATTTTAAAACCAATAGTTGAAACACAAACAAGAAAGAAACGCCCACACATATATAGGATCAGAATCACTAAAACAAAAACTTTTGTACAAATCAGTAAAAAAAAAAGGATCCAAAATTATGATCCAAAAATTTTAGAAAACTACCTATTATTATTACAGTACATCCACGTGCTGTGTTTCTGACTACGTTTTTACATTTGAACTCCAAATGATCATTCACGTGATCAGAATAACTATATATACACTGATTTCGGGAGCAATAAAACACACACACACAGCAAAGACCCAGTCAGCAGCTGGACGTGAATCACCCATCGATGACAAGCGGTTGAATCTGTAAACACCCAGCCAGAATTCTCTTGTTACCATGACGACACCTCAGTCAGCAACGACTACACACAATCCAAAGGAATATTCACAAAACTCAAAGAAATATTAATAGCCGCGGAAAAAAAGTAAGTCTGATCATCTATCTCTATGTCCATTTCCTTTTGGAGCAACCATAATCAGATTTCACGTATTAACACTCACAACACATATGGTTTTACTAATTTCGAAGAGAAAATAATGACATAATCGAGATGTTGATTGCCCACGTCATTTCAAAATAAAGATTAGGAAGGAACCTTCTATCAATACTGGAAAGAGCGATAACCGCTACGGGACTTGAGAAACTTATTTCCCTGAAAAATTGTTTTAAGAGAAAGATTTTATAAATATCGTCTGTCAGCAGTACTGACTGCTCGGTAAATGGATAGCAAATGTTTCCTTGTAGGGAAACGGCTAATATCACTATGACTATTAAAATTTACGAATTGAAACTGGGGTACAATATTATTATCATTTCAGTATAATCAACTGCTACGAACAGAGAGAGTAAAACAATTGAAAGAAAAGTTAGAAAGAGAAATTCTGCAACTAGTACGTACAGAAAAGACGGACTGATGAGCACAGCTCTAGAATTTATTGTACGAGCTGCAGTAACATAAAAATATGCGCAAGAAATTTCCATTTCATAAGACAGTTTTCTTCTCCTCAATGGATCTTTAAAAACAAAAGCTAAAGTATTCTTCGCTTTCTTTACTATCGCCCGGCGCATCGGCACAAGGTTAAAAAAAAGCAAACAAACAAGATATAATAAAGAAAGGAAAACATTTGACAGAAAGCGATGGTAATTATTAGGGTTCATGTCCGTTTATGTGCCTCGCGTCAGGCCTGATGCTTTTGTACATTAAAGGTGTCAGGTTTTGTGAAGGAGGCGAGAGATTTATTATGGTTGGCGTGTTCAGGTTCTCTGACGGAAAAGTGTGGGTGGTCACACTCAATATGGCCGACCGATAATAAACGCTTCAAAATCAGTGGCGAAGGATCGCTGACATACAAAGCAAAGGTTGAAGGCGCATAAAAACAAGCGAGGAGACGCACACATCCAACAGATGCGCCATTCACACGAGTCTCTCGATGTTCTTGGGAGTTTGGGGAAGGTTTATGTTTACATTGTTGAATTGTTATATATTTGCTTTGCTTTCTTCCGCTTTTTTTCCCACTCAAAATGTCTATCTTGCTTTCAAATTTCTATTTTTTTTATAACTTTCTTTCTTCCTCTATTTCACTGCATTTCTATAAAATTCCAGTCTTCCATTCTGTCTACTGTATATTTTCTTTCTTTCTTTCTTTCTTTCTTTCTTTCTTTCTTTCTTTCTTTCTTTCATTCTTTCTTTCTTTCTTCGAATTTGTCCTCTTTCATTCTTTTGTTTTACTCTCTCTACTATTTTTGCCATTCACCGTCTTTTGTTCTTTCTAATTTCTTTCTTTTTTTTTTTTGTTATTTACCTTAACTCATACATTAATCAAAATTACTATGGAAAAAATGATGATTACTTTGTTTAACGCCTAATAAAACCCAAACAAGTTATTACGAAAATTGTGGTATTCGAAGAATATAAACATCGTCTTAAAGAAGCTACTTAAAAACAAAGTATGAAACATAGAGTAGTGGAATGCTGGCCGAGAGGCTTTAGATCAGTGGTTTTCAAACTTTTTTTTTCTCAATGGAGACATTTCACCATATGTTAGAATATCATTCCCCGCCTTTCCGAAATTGTCTGACTTAAAATGCATACCAAATAATATCATATTGAAACTCTTCATTCTTTTCCATATTAACATATATACATTCACATAGATTATTTTTATAGCGGAATTTTTTGTTTTATTAATGATGGGCTTCAAATTCTGTAAATAAAAAAAAAACCCTAAAAAACAACAAAATTTAAACTATTTTGCCCTCCCCTGGAAACCATAAAATTATCCCCGGAAGGACCCCCCCTCTAGTTGAGAAACCCAGCTTTAGGTTTTATTCAAAAAGTACAAATGTGCTATCAGTCAGGTGTTAATCGGCAAAATTTATTTTATCCAGCTAATTCTGTCACCTGTGAACCGTAATCAATGTTTAAAAAGATTAGATTAGTACGACACAAGGCCGAAATTGATGAGCACCTAGTAGGTATCGAACCCACTACAGAATATTTGCTATCTAGTCTTTACTGGTATCAATGGAATCTGTTAGCATTTAAAGAGTGCTTTTAATGAAGAAAGATGAATATATTTTTCAGTATACTTCGTCCATGAAAGGAAAAATAAAATCACACTAGTGGGAGGCGCAGTTAAAACATATACGATTATCACAAGCGAATTAACCATCACCCCATCTTTTTAACCATCACATTTTACAAAAAACGAAGTTCACTATAACACAAGGTCAAGTTATAAAAATGAGATAAAGACAAAAAATTATTTTTTGCGAAACAGGCCTTCGTGTCAATGCTAATATTACATTCTTAACTTCGTCATGTCTAAATTCCATCGTTATCTATCCTACATATCCTCACCATCTTTATATCTACTTCTATTACTTTCATATCATTTACCTCATTCAGTAACTCTCTACTTGGAGTGACTCTTGCGCCTGGTGAGAATTATAAAACAAAAACGTAGTTAGGCCTGCTAAATAAAACCAGCTTTTGAAGTCATTTATTCGTTGGTTGATTTTGTTTAGCGGCATATCAACACCTCTGTAGGTTCACTAATTACATTGTTCGGACTATCATCCTCATCTTTTTTGCCATATTTATCCCAAGATTTCGGCCGTTTTACGCTGCGGCCTTCTTAAAGTGGTTGGAATGTCGAACTGAACCCTTTATTTCGCTCGCTGGGATAGACTATTCTAGTTCTATGTGCCATGTCTAATGGATGTCAGTTATCAGTTATCTCCTCTTAATTCCCCTCTCCAAGTTCTCCTAACCCTGCCTTAACCAGGTATTGAACTTACACATTTTGGGTCCTGTCATTGGATCTAACTAAGGCATTTATCCACTGTGCCATGTGTCCTTGAGGAAACGTTGTGATAAATATGGCAACAAAAATGAGGTTTGGTTTGGTTTATTTTGTTTTACGGCATATCAACTTCAATGGGTTTTTTTTAATGCCGACAACATTTTAGGATATATTCGTATGAATAGAATATGTATTCTTTGGTTTAGATTAGTTTGGTTTATTTTGTTTTACGGCATATCAACCTCAATGGGTTATTTAATGCTGACAAAATTTTTTATTGTTGGTAATATTTTGTTTTGTCAAAAATCTGTTTCTGGTAATATTTTCCCTTCAAAATTGTATTGCTGGTAATAATTCTTTTTCAAAAATGTATTGCTGGTAATAGTTAACTATTTGTCCATAGCTGGGACCCTAACAGGTGCTACTACCTCGAGTCAGAGTGGACCTGGGAACACCAGCAATTAAGAGGTGATTTCACGCTCCTCAAAACCTCCTGATTAGAGGCTTTGCTGTTGGACATAGTTTATCGCGGATCAGGACGCGGATGTAGTTTAACGTCTTACCCAGGACGTCAAAAATGAGGATGATAGTTTGAACAATGTAAATAGTGTACATAATACCTCATCTCAGAAATATAAACATATACCTCTATAGCTTATTTAATGCCGAAATCTAAATATTTTTAACATAATTTTATAGCTTGAAATAAATATATTTTGAACGAAATTGTATGTCTTAAATTACAGAGAATGTATTGTTGGCATTGTTTATATAAAAACGTATTGCTGGTATTTTTATTATAAAATGTATTTTTATATTTTCACAGTGTGTTGTAGCATACCTACGGACGATAATGGGTATGTAACCATTCACACAAATACAGTAGTAAATACTGTATGTTGGTCTGCAGTTGGAGATTCATTGTGAAATTCACTTGACTTACTTCTAGCAGTTGGCAACTCCTTCTACGCGCCGCTGGCGAATCTTATATGTGTTGTTCGTGTCCTAAGTATTATCGTTCATTACCAACCTTCGTTTGATTATTCTATTTATTAACCATACTTATGTTACAATAGATAGATAGACAGATAAGGAACAGACAGTGTTGTAGCATACCTACGGACGATAATGGGTATGTAACCATTCACACAAATACAGTACTGTATGTTGGTCTGTAGTTGGAGTTCATTGTGAAATTCACTGTATTCTAGTTGGCAACTCCTTCTACGCGTCGCTGGCGAATCTGGATTACCATTCATTCTATTTATTAACCATACTTATGTTACAATAGATAGATAGACAGATAAGGAACAGACAGTGTTGTAGCATACCTACGGACGATAATGGGTATGTAACCATTCACACAAATACAGTAGTAAATACTGTATGTTGGTCTGCAGCAGTCTCACTTCTAGCAGTTGGCAACTCCTTCTACGCGCCGCTGGCGAATCTTATATGTGTTGTTCGTGTCCTAAGTATTATCGTTCATTACCAACCTTCGTTTGATTATTCTATTTATTAACCATACTTATGTTACAATAGATAGATAGACAGATAAGGAACAGACAGTGTTGTAGCATACCTACGGACGATAATGGGTATGTAACCATTCACACAAATACAGTAGTAAATACTGTATGTTGGTCTTTGGAGATTCATTGTGAAATTCCTTGACTCACTTCTAGCAGTTGGCAACTCCTTCTACGCGCCGCTGGCGAATCTTATATGTGTTGTTCGTGTCCTATTCATTACCAACCTTCGTTTGATTATTCTATTTATTAACCATACTTATGTTACAATAGATAGATAGACAGATAAGGAACAGACAGTGTTGTAGCATACCTACGGACGATAATGGGTATGTAACCATTCACACAAATACAGTAGTAAATACTGTATGTTGGTCTACAGTTGGAGATTCATTGTGAAATTCACTTGACTTACTTCTAGCAGTTGGCAACTCCTTCTACGCGCCGCTGGCGAATCTTATATGTGTTGTTCGTGTCCTAAGTATGATCGTTCATTACCAACCTTCGTTTGATTATTATATAGTAACCTTCTTTAGGTTACAATAGAATGTTTTGTTTATGGGGGTTCACTATTTGCCCATATCTGGGACCCTAACAGGTGCTATCACCCCGGATCAGGGTAGACCTGGGAACAACAGCAATGAGGAGATGGTAACTCTGCTCCTCAAAACCTCCAATCTCCGGATCAGAGGGCTTGCTGCCGGATGTCGTTTATCGTCATAACCAGGACAATAATCTTTTTGGACTTGGACTTGAACAATAGGCTTTTGTACAAATTAGAAACACATATCAAATTCAGCAAAGTGGTAGGTTTATATTAAGCATTTTTTAGTATAAAACAGCCACAAGCATGAGACAATTATATATATAAAAAAAACAACTATAATAGTTTGTGAGATCAACTTGCAGAAAAATTCCCAGTTCTTTTCCAAAAAATAAAATAAATAAAATGGTGAATGGAAAAAATCAGTATTCTGATATTCACTTATTGAAATATTGATTTTAGGAAGTGTGTCTGGCCAAGTACATTCCACCTTCACCTGCTCAAAGATGTGGTTAAATTCTATAAACTCCCTTGTGGATTTCGGGGTCACAACCTCGCCACGCTCGACGTTGCTGTTTTCTCCAAAGAGAGATGACTCATTGGTATATTCCTAAATGAAAATTAATGTCCATTGTACATTTTGGCATTCTCCTTATTCTAGGAAACCAACATGGCGCTACGTGCGCTTTTCCTGTTCAGCCATGGAGATCTCTTCAGTAACCAAGGTTCAATTACTACAGCACTTAAATTACTGAAATTAACTATCTCGCAACATACAGACCTATTTGCTGTATTTTGGTTTGTAGTTTGTAGTTTGTACCTACCTCTCTCCATATGTGCGCATCTATCTATCTATCTATCTATCTATCTATCTATCCTCGTCCCTTGAGATCTATCTATCTATCTATCTATCTATCTATCTATCTATCTATCCTAGTCCCTTGGGATCTATCTATCTATCTATCTATCTATCTATCTATCTATCTATCTATTGTGACGTACGGTGGCCGTAAATAATTAAGTATAACTCCAGATTTGAATGTTAAGGTAAAACGGTATTTAATTACAACCGGAAATAATTACCTAACAAGAAGAAAGAAGTAAAAGTCAACCAAAGATAATTAACTATCAATGAATATCTTGTTAGTAGCGCGGCTCGGCTTAACGTCCGGTTAATCCTAAATCAAAACGCAAATCATCGGCTCAAAATAATTCAGATTAATTCGACTGGATAGTTCCACTCAATAGTCAGTCAATAATCAAACAATAATCACTACAGTCAGTAGCCTGACACCGATATTTATACACCTGGCGGAATGGATATTTTCATAAGTCTGAGTGACACGCTCGAACCTAGGTGTCGGTAGTTACTCATTTTCCTCCTATATGATACTATCTCTCTATCTATCTATCTATCTATCTATCCTTGTCCCTTGAGATCTATCTATCTATCTATCTATTTGCTGTCTCTTTCTTTATGTGATGTCATATATACGTTAAGTTTATTTAAATATTATTTATCAAAATACAGAGTTGAACTAAATGAAAATTCAAAATATATTTCCCATGAGAATAAATCCCCGGTCACTTCTTCCATTTTTCTTCTTATTCGTACCTTCACCTTCCATTTTCAGTCTCGATTTTTCTGTTATTTTGGTCTCATTATCTCGTGCATTTTCATCTTATTTCTCACTCCACTGTCACTTATCAGACGATATCTTTAAGTGCTTTTGTTAATTACTTCAGCTCAAGTAAAGCAATAAATCAACTAAGACACGAGGGGTTACTGAGTGTGAAAGAATAAGAAAAAGAAAAAAATAACATTAAAGATCGAGAACAATAAAAGAAGAAGAATCAAGAAAATAGTACATAACGATTGATATTGCATTTAAATTTTTGAAGATCAATATTGACTGAAAAGCAAGAAGCCAGAATAGAGTTCCATAGACGAGAAGTGTGAGAAAAGAAACTGTTAGCATAAAACTTACGGTTGCGTTTAGCCAGTTCAATTGTAATATGATGAAACTTTGCCGCTAGTCTGCTACTAGAATGAAATTCGTAAATTCTAGGTAATTTAGAGGAAATTTCATCTGAACGAGTACCCTGTAAGTATTTATCGAAAAGGCACATGGGATCTACATTACATCAGTAGAAAAGTGTAACATTAACTAAGACCGACACAGGGCTAAATAAGAAGTCCCGTATTTTACGGCTTACAAGACGCTGCAGTTTGGAAGACGCACCCTAACATTGGAAAAAAATTCTAAAAAAAAAAAAAAATAAAATAAAAAAAGTCATTCTCATACAACAACACATTCACCATTCATTCCTCGCATACTGACGCCACGTATTGTCTACATTAATCACACGTCTGATTTTGTTTGTATGGCAATGACATACTAGTCAAGAGCCGAAAGGCTTCCGCCGCTGCTAGTAAACAGATCCTGTTTAAGCCAGTGGCTCGTCTCCAGGAAGGTTTATAGTCGTGGAAATACTTGTAACAGCTATGTACTGAGGTTAGATCATATAAAAGATTGAATTAGATAGATGGTTAACATTATATGTAATGACCCAACATAAAAATCCATGTCCCTATCAATCAAGCCAATTAGGTGACCGTCCAAGCTAATTTGAGCCTGGGCGTTAGCTTATATTCGTCTTGGAAGACGCACACGTATTTTCAGGATATTCTTTAGGGAAAAAATTACGTCTTGTAAGCCAGAAAATATAGTAAATTATATAGGAGGTTTATCCTTTGTTAATCTTTAGATAAAACATCCTTGCTTTAAAATTCGCATTCAAAATCTTGCAGATTTAATTGTGCTTCGTCAGCGAGAAATCAACCCTCTAAACATTCTTCATATTTGGTAAGATTAGTTCAATTCAGTACAAAGCCAAATGAAAATAAATATGACCATGAAGGTTATGTTGTTTTAATAATCTAATTGAGGTTTGCCTTGAAAATCAGTATTTGAAATTCAAGATTGTTATCCGTGTTCTAACACGAACCTGTTGTTCTGGGGATAAATATACAACAGTTTTTAACCATCTTTTCTTTAATTCTATTCTTTATATTATTCGTATTAGCCGAATAGATCATTTGATATTAAATCGGGTACTATTATCATTGTCAGTGATAGCAAAGATGTCGAATCTTTACAAGATAGAGTCTAAAGGTACAGGTAATGAAAACTAAAGGACTGTAGACAAAACTTCCCATGTAATTTCAAATGGAATCATTCTTATACAACCAAGGGAATAAAAAGCAAACACAGTATGAATTGGGCTCAAATGCAGATCAAATATGAAATGGAATCCGACAGAATGATAGGATAAGGATAAAATAAGAAACATTTATAAATCTAACATTTTTCCCTTTTTTAAAGCCTCATCGAAGAATGAGATATGGATAAAAAGTTTTTGTGTTGCTTGTTTTTCATTGGTTAATCAGACGTCATGTACATTTTGTCTTGTCAAGCTACGTTCGTGTGTAAATTTACGTGTGTGAGTTTATCATCCTAGTTTCTATGTGGGAGTCAGATGATAATGTATATTAGTTTCTGTATGTTTTTGCGCGCATGCGTATGTCTGTCGGTGTGTGTGTGTGTGTCAAGGAAGCATTTTTACTTATGTCTGGTGGTTAACAACATATTCATTTGGGGACGTTTTTTTTCGTAACAATGTAGTGGTGGTTAATAATAGGTCGACATATTTTAGATTCTTTAAGTATAGGTTTGATAAATGTTTGTTATGTAATATAGTGTTTGATGTGATAGATAGATGGTCAGAGATTTATCAGAATCCCCTCGAAGTATTTCCTACGTAGAGAAACACAGTATACGAGAAAAGAAATATATTATAGTCCGAAACATACATTTTTCCAAATCGTAAAACGATCTTTTTCTTCTTCTATGTGTCATGTCTCTTGAGGACGTTGGCGATCATGGGTCTCCTGCATTTCCTGTCATTTGTAGCTCTTTATAATTTTTTTTTTTTGCTGTCAATCCTAAACCCTGTTCTGCAAAATATATGTAAGCTCGTTGGGTAAGTTAGGCGCTATTGTCCTCTGTTCCTTTTCCGGTCAGTATCAAGTATTATTTTTTTCATTATGTCTTTTTCTGATTCTAAGTATAAATGTTCTTTCTGCTTCCATTTTCTCTAAAACTTCGTCGTTGTTCACATGTTCAGTCCATGGTTTTCTCAAGATGCTTTTGTAGAATCATATTGTTTCAAGTTTTTCTTCATCTGTGATGGGATTGTTGAATATGCACTCTCAGATAGGAGGACTGATATTACATAACCGTTAAATATTCGTCTATTTGTTTCTAACGAAATTTTCCTGTTTCGTAATACTTTGCTGAAAAAATCCTCGGGTAAGATATGAATCCACCGCTTCTCCCTCCAGCTATGGGTTAATTAGTAAGACTAAATCATTATTATCTCCAAAAAATATTCTTAGAATCTAACAATATTTTCTGACTTTAAATGACCTGAAAAAGGTTGATAAACCGTAGAAAACAAATTAATGAATCAATTAATTCTATCCAAATACGTCTTCGGTTTTCGGTGTCGCAATTTACGACCTCTGTTAAAACACATTTGTTTGTTTTGCTTTACGGCATATCAACCTTAATGGGTTATTTAATGCCAACAATTTTTTTTCTCAAAATGTATTACTGGTATTAAAACATAATTTTAAGTCTTCACACTGTTTTGATCCCGTTTTGGGGGTTAAGTATTTGCCCATAGCTGTATCCCTAGCAAGTGCTACCACCTCAGGTCAGGGTGGACCTGGGAACATCACCAATTAAGAAGTTCCACGCTCCTCAAAACCTCCTGATCAAAGGCCTTGCTGCCGGATGTAGTATATCGTCATACCCAGGATGCATTTCGTTTTGGAATCTCCAGTTTGTAATTGGCCTTTTGCTGTCTTCTTGTCATTGATGGTCAATTCTTTCTTCTCATTTTCCTTGATTAACTTCTGTAAGAGCCACAGTAGTTTGATTTTTGCATCTGCTGTCAACACTGTGTCATCTGTATAACAGTAGCAAAACGTGTTGTATAAAGTGAGAGGAAAATCCTTTCTGCTTGTCCATAAGTGCAACGACATTTTTGAAATTTGTAGATTATAAGTTTAATTCTATTAGGCGCTATCTTTGTCCTTGTTGGTGGGAAAACGCTTTCCCTCTCCCCATCCCCCCTCTCTCTCTCTCTCTCTCTATATATATATATATATATATATATATATATATATATATATATATATATATGGGTAACTATATATAATTTTTATATATCAAAAACAATTTTTGGCTGAAATACGTATGACATAGTGGAAAAAGTTTTCCTGTGACGCATCCTAAGGGACGGAATGCGTCATACAAAACCTTTTTCTATTTTCTGAGACAGCTTTCCTTGGGAGCCATCATTGTTTGTGCTAGCATAAAGTCACACTTTCATCGTGACTGAGAGTTTAGTGTGCTGACTTTGCACAGACTGTTGATCTCATGAGATGACGCTCTCTCTCTCCTATAAACTGTAACTCAGATTAGGTCATCATAGTTGTAGTATAAACCACATGTGGGCCCTGTTGGTGTTTAACCAACACAAATGTGCCTGAGCGGACGTCTGTCTATGGGAATTATTTAGCCGCTCTAACAGACTGGCACCTTCGGATACAAGTGGCTAGTCATATATATATATATATATATATATATATATATATGATATATATATATATATATATATATATATATATATATATATATATATATATATATATATATATATATATATATATTACAACCGTCAATAATAGCAGATATTCAAAAAACATCTTTCGGTCGACATACAGGTATATCGTCTCAAGTTTTTGATTTTATAAGGAAAAAAAACACATGCCTGATGATGGATGGAAGACTGTCCGTAAGTACTAGCATTTTAACATCAAATAAACTGAAAAACTACAGACAACAAGTTTTTCTTCAAGGATCAAAACTCGCACTATGGATGAACAGGATTTTAATGCATATATTATGTTTTCTAGCGATGGATGTCGCCAATAATCGCATTGATACTTCTGATTAATTCTATGTGTGATTATTCTTATATATATATATATATATATATATATATATATATATATATATATATATATATATATATATATATATGTGTGTGTGTGCGCACGCGCGTTTGTATTGAGCGATCTGTACATATGAATCTGTTATCCATTTACTGACAGTATTATTTTGAATTTAGAGTACAATAGGAAAACCGTGTCCATCATTTCCCAAAGACAGACAATGTTTTCTTCCTTTAACTCTTTCATAACTTGTCGTTTTTTCCTCCTTCGCCGGGTTGATTTGAAATTTCTTTTTATACCTACTCTTATTTTTATACTTACACTTATTTTTGGGTAATTCTGAGTTCATTGTTCACTGGGTTCAAATTTTAAGTCACTTTTTCGATTCGATCTTAAATTATATTCAATAAATGTCATATTAAGTGTCATATAACGATGCGGTAAAAGTCAGCGAGCTAGTCTGATTGGCTATTACTATTGAGTAGTTGGTTTGATCCTCCCTGGATATTCTGTATCTGTGGCCTTGTTTAAAACTGCGGTAAATGATAACAATTGTCATGCCGTGCCAGAGTTGGCTCAAATATAGCCAATATATTCCGGCTACATTTTTTCATTACTGCTTTCTTCTTTTATTTTTTTAAGAAAATTAAGTTTTCTTCTCATTTCTGTGCCCTTTTCTTCTGTTCAATCTCTATGTGATTTTGTAGGTACTTTTTCTATTTTTCTTTGTAACTTGTCACTTTCATAGTCTTCGTCTTTTTTTATTCCCTTAACCGCCATTCTTACAATCTTTTCCCTTTTCTTATTAATGTCTTTATCTCTCCCTTTCCCACTTTTATCCCATCGTCCCTCTGCCCTTCTTCTTATTCATACTTACTATTATTCTCTGTTTTCCCCTATTTCCGACTTTGGCATTGTCAGAAAATCAATACTGAGGCTGCCAGTTGGGAATTGCATGGTGGCGGCCATTTTGATTGTTAGTTGTTCGGGGTGGCGTAAAAGTCGATATAGACTCTCAAAAAGTGCCTAAATAAACATAGGGTAAAAAAAAGGCCAAACTAAAATAAATGAAACAAAACCTAACTTTACACTCACTAGTTAATATTTATGTGTCGCGGATTTCACAAGATTGTTAGTTTTTAGTTTATAGGTTGAAGAAAGTCTGAAACTATGTTTGCTAGATAATAAAAACGCTTTTACTGAATGAGATGCAATCTAAGACTTGTTTTAACTTTTAAAACTCAATTTCGAAGTTGACTGAGCAAATAGAATCAGTTAGAATGAAACTAACATAATCTGTTTATTTTATAAGAAAAAGTAATTTTGAAGATGTGTCTGATATGCTAAGGAGTTGAGTTCCTCCAATGTTGGATTAAGTATATTACTCCTTGACCTCTCTTTGACCTTCTCATCGTGTACAACAAGTTAAGATAAGAAAATATATCCAAAGGTAATAAATCAAAGTGTTTTGTTTCGCTTAATATTATATTCGATTCAGTTCCTAACAAAAGCATTTTCATGATAATTATTAGAATCAGATAATTTTGTATTCAAAAGAAGAATATTTGATATGTTAGCTCTTGGTCGACTAAAATAACAGATTTTTATACCTATTGCAGTCTGACTTTATTTTGAAGTAACTTTTCATTAACCAAGGCAGAAATATTAAACAAATTTCAAGTTTACTAAACGCCTCAGCTGAAATCAGAATCATTCTGATCGTGCAGCATATTGATTTTTATTTCATATTGTGTAAGGTATTTAATTCCATTTCTGATCATATAATATACCGAATGCCATTTCTGATCCTATAAGGTATTTAATTCCATTTCTGATTGTGCAAAGTAGAGAATTTAATTTTTGATCCTATAAGGTATTGAATTCCATTTTTGATTGTCCAAAGTATTTAATTTCCGATCGTGTAAGGTATTTAATTGCATTTATGATCGTGGAAAGTACTGGGGTCCATTCTGATTGTCTCATTTCATTTCCTATGGTGTAAGGTATTTAATTCGATTTCTGATCATGCAAATTATTTCATTTCATTTCTGAGCGTGTAAGGTATTCAATTTCATTTATAATCGTGCGAAATATTTAATTTAATTTCTGATCGTGGAAGGGACTGCATTCCATTTCTGATCGTAAAAAAGTATTTAATTTCATTTACGATTATGTAAGATATTTAATTCAATTTCTGATCATACAAAGTGTTTATTTCAATTCTGATCGTGGAAAGTATTGAATTCAAATTTCTGACCGTGCAAAGTACTGAATTTAATTTCTGATTGTAAAAGTTATTTAATTCAATTTCTGATCGTATATGTTATTGAATTACATTTCTGAACTTGGAAGGTATTGAATTCAAATTTCTGACAGTACAAAGTACTGAACTTAATTTCTGGCCGTAAAAGGTATTTAATTCAATTTCTGTTCTTATATGGTATTGAATTCCATTTCTGATCGTGGAAGGTATTGAATTCAAATTTCTGACAGTGTAAAGTACTGAATTTAATTTCTGGCCGTAAAAGGTATTTAATTTAATTTCTGTTCGTATATGGTATTGAATTCCATTTCTGATCGTGGAAGGTACTGAATTCCATTTTTGATTGTACAAAGTATTTCATTTCATTTCCGATCGTGTAAGGCATTTCATTCCATTACTGCTCGTGAAAAGTATTTAATTTAATTTCTGATCGTATTATGGTATTGCATTTCTTTGCTTTGTTTAAATGCAAAATATTGAAAATGTGTTGCGATCAGCACACAAACGGTAGGATCAAGAAAGAAAATATATGCAGGGTGTGATGGTGGTGAGGTGGTGTAATGGTTAGCAAGCTTGTCTCGCTAGAACAATTACACCTGAGTAGTGAGTTCGATCCTCACTAGGCGCCCCGTGCTTTCGGCATTGTGCCACATCCATGCTACACTTGGAAAATAACTATATGCAGGGTGTGATGGATAAATTGTCTTCTAAGTTATGCAAACGTGAAAGTTTTAGAGTCCAAAAGCGTCTCCGAGTCCTTCTGGGTGACGAATTATTCTCCACCCTAAAATCTCTCTATCACAGACGGGACGTGCCAAGCCTCTCGCTGCACTATCGCTAATTCCACGGAAAGTGCTCGGTTGAAATACATTCCCTGGTCCTGCCAACTCAAACCTTCACGGCAAGGACACGCCATGCTACTTACATAGTAGCGAACCGTATTCCATCGATGAGAAGTAAGTTTCACCCGAAACACTGCTCTGTGGAACCGACTCTCAAGAGAATGCTTCCTCGATCGCTACAACCTTAAGCTGTTCAAGGCTAGGGTCAATCTTCCACTTCTGTCGTAACGCTCTGCGACAGTGGCCCACGAGCCTTGTAAAGAGTAAACCTTACTGTAAAAAATAAATAAATGAAAAAATAAAGCTAATGCAGTGATGTAATGATATATAATGATTCTTCACCATATTTTTGCCACTGGTCGGCTAAGAAAATGTGTGCGAATGTGTAGATGGGAAAAAAACAGGTAAAGGCTGATGCAAGAACTTCGCCACTGCTAAAATGAACATTCAAGATTTTTTTCAGCATTACATAAACAAAGTGTTATCTCTCATGCTATAATAGATTTTTTCCAAGAGCCTTTTGGACATTGTAACATCGATCTTTTTCAGGAAATAGCTATTTCACCAAGTGGCAATAAAAATACGGCAACCTTCGTAACCGCAAAAATCGTAGTGTTAAACGGGCGGCTTTTCCCATGACCCCGATAATATTTTAACTACCTTCACTTCTCGGCATTTTTATTGTTTTAAAAAGCCGTAATTAGAATTTTAATAAAACCTAGACATAAGAAAGTGAATTCATATTGATAGATAATTGCCAGTCGATTCATACTTTATAAAATGGTAAATAATAAGGATTTCCTTATAGTTGCTTCACATATTTTAATAATTTACTAAATGTTTATAAATTTATGAATGAAAAAATTCTTTTCATATTCATTTCATTATAAATTAATAGATAATAAATCAGGGGTCGACAACCTTTTGGAGCTAGCGGAACAGAAAGCTATTCAGGTGGGTCATGATATCAAATTTACTATAATAAAATATCTCAACTTGAGACAGCTCCATTCAGAAAGCTGTCTTACTATGAAGGTTTAAAGAAGGAACAACATAGTTAATGTTATATTATTTAAACAAGGTTCTTTATTTTACTGCACGAATAACAGGATAGCATCTAACACAATCAACAAAAAATGCAAATACATTACTACGGTTAATTTGGCGGGGGCCGGACAAAAATTTTTCGTGGGCTGGATGTGGCCCGTGGTCCGCTGCTTGTCAACTCCTTTCATAAATAGTGCATTGTATTAGCTTCAATACAATTGTATTAATTTTAGAATATTGTAAATATAAGATTATTCTTGTAAATAAACAATCTAATAAACAAATAGTGTTTATTATTTTTGTTGTCAATTCTTACGATAAAAAAAAGAAACGTATAAATTAACTTCTATCATATATTTAACTTTCATCGGCACCTCGAGGTAGTGTAATGGTTAGCAAGCTTGTCTCGCTAGAACAATTACGACTGATTAGTGAGTTCAATCCTCACTGGGTGCCCATTATTTTCGGCCTTGTGCCACACATCCAATCTACTCTTGGAAAATCACTATATTTAACTTTTATTATAATCATCACTTTTTAAAACAATAAACTTTGCTGAGGAGTGAAGGTAGTTAAAATAATATTGGTGTCAAGGGAAAAACCGTCCTTTTGACACTCCGTTTTTTTTTTCGGACACGAAGGTCCAAACTTGCCAAAAATACATTTTAATTTATTTTTAAATACAGTGAACACACGAAGTTACAGATTATTTGGTTTTGTTCCAATGTTTTTATATGCGTCATATACTGGCATTTTGTAGTAAAACATGCACACACACACACACACACACACACACACACACACACACACACACACACACACAAAGCAAAGCAAAGCAAAGCAAAGCAAAGCAAAAATAAATACGAAGAAAAAACGAAAACGAAAAAATAAAACGGAAAGTCTGTTTTTTTTATACATTAGAGATTGGTTTTAATTGAATATTTGATTGTCGTTTATAAATACATAATTATTTTCCACATTTCAATCCATTTGTAATCTTTGTATTTCGCGCGCAGTTTATTCTTAGATTATAAGATCTTAATTAAGCATGGGAAATTGAACAGTAAATTGATTTTCCTTTTCGTCTATAATAACGGCCATCATATGTTGTATACTTGATGTGGCCCACAGGTGTTTGTGTGCAAGACCCGGATTCCCAAACTTTTAAAACCATCTATCCCTTCATAGAAACCTTGATCCCTCATCAATCCCAGGTATGTACAATCTTTTTTTTATATTTAAAAGCAGCAATTTCATTGCTTTTTCCTTCCTTTATTGTTTATTAATAAGATTTAGTTTAGCTTTACGTTTTGTTGATTCTTTTTCAATTTGAAATTTTTTCCTGCACTTGATTTTTTCTACTATTACTACTACTACCGCCACTACTACTACCACCACTACTAATACCGCCACGAACAACAACAACAACAGCAATGGTAATACTACTACTACTACTACTGCTACTGCTACTACTACTAATAATATTACTAATAACATCAATAATAAAACAAGAACTTCATTAATAATATGTAATAAGAAACGCATTAAAAAAGAAATTGATATAATTATTTTTATTATTCTTACCAAAATTCAAAGAAGGAGAATCGATTCTGTTCTGGCATCTCAACTTCATTCATTTTCTCAACGACGTGACGTGGCTTCCATCTGTCTTTTCTACAAATATTTTCATGGCATTTGTTCTGATGAGCTTTCCTCCTTGGTGCCTCGACTGCATGAATTTAAGCGTAATACTAAATTGGCAGTTAGGTCTCACTGTAGATGCAAACGTATGTCGCTAATTCTAATAGTCATTTTCTCGCATTTCTCGC